CATCTAATTTCTTGATGTGTCAAATTATTCATAGCAGTTAAAGAAAGTTTCAAAATAATCCAATCCCTCTAATTGGTGATAGCCCTTAGCCATTATACACATAACCATCATCATTATATTTATTTTGATCATCATTATATTTATTTTGATAAACCCACTTACAACCTCTGGTAGTCTTGTTGGGAGGAAGAGGCATGCTGCTCTTGCATGGCTATCTTCCAATTTACTTGTGCAGTAATATTGTAATTTTTTGGTTATTAGCATAAATAGAAAGAGCTACCTGCCTAAAATGTGGTGAGAGCCAAGCAATATAAACAAAAGAGCTAATTGGATAACTGGTTTGATAATCGTTCAAATAAGTTGATGTTCTAACAGATTTCATTGATAAAATTGTGATCATGAGAATTATCATGGCAGAGACATCATGACTTATAGAGTTTGATCATCACCTGCATCATTTGGTTCAATTATATTTTGAGAAGTGATAAGAATCATTGCTTTCAAGAATTCTCCTACTAGGAAATTGATTTTCATAAAAAAAATAACATTCTGAAAAACACAAATTGTGAGTTTTCAAAGTGGAGACAATGTAGAGCCTTTTCTAAGGCTCATTTTCTTTGATCCATATTTGAGGGACTCTTCTAAAGTCCTTAGCCCAAAACCCCAATGAATGGGATCTGATTGAATTACGACAGGGTTAGCCCCGTAGCTCCACAACATCACCTGAACTATTCTCATCGTCTGAAAGAAACATTTGCTTAAGCGCTGAACAGCCACATAGAGTCGACGGCCGACAACACATAGTTGATGACAGACGGCTGCACAAAGTGGACGACAGCATACAGTGGACGACAGCAGATTCAATGGCTTGACGACAGCGGTACAGGAAGCGAAGAAGAATCGCTTCTTTCAAATATTTTTCGTGTTTTTTCTAAGGATTGTTCTGACTCAGTTTTAAGTTTTCCTATGAAAGAATTGTTGTGCTTGTGTCGTTTATGTACTGTTTGATAATGATAAAAGCTGAAATGTTTGTGAAATGTAAAGATGCTGCTTATTCACTTTAAGATGCTGCGCTGACTCAACTTTGAGTTATAAATGTTATAAATTTCAGGATTGAAGTTGATGTTGATGGATTTGAAGATTAAGTGTTAGAAACTTGAGATGTTATTTGTTTGCTTATTTTTCTCACTCCTATTCATGAAAACAGACCTTTCTCTTCAATTTTCCACTTTGGCCTTCTTCCTCTTAATCTTGAACCCTTTTTAATGCCAACATCAATCTTTCAGCTTATTCTATCTGTTTTCTTTGTATAACATGTTACATTGGAAGAAACCGACTTTGGAAAGACCTATAGGAGAAATAGGATAGCAGCATATCATACAAAAATTGGCATATTCAAAAATGTTAATTATGTGTTTAGGACTGCTTGTGTGGAATAGTTGTTATTAAATAGAATGATTTTATATACCTATTACTTGTTATATGGTGATGTTTACTTTTTATTTGTTGTTCTTACTATTTTGGTATAGTTTTAAACAATGATTTCAGTGATTAGTCATAAGGCAATACAGTTACTTTTATATAAACCTTATAAGTTTCCATGGATATGAAACAGTGAAGTTTTCATTTCCTTTGTCTATGCAGAAATTGAATTTCTTTTCTTATTGAATATTAAAAACAAAGAAAAGGTTCTAGAAAAATGCAGCAGATAATTATCAATGCTAATAGTTATGTTAAAAACCAAGTACAAAATCTTTATACATTAAACAAATAATTTCACTCCAATTCTAACCTTTCAAGCTATTAAACTCATTTGGGATTTTATTCTACATGGAAAGTAATTTGACTAGATTTATTCATATAGCATTGTTTCCCTGTTACGAATATAGCATTGAAAGTCTTGCATATGCAAAAGATTAGTGAAACTCTTTTTTTAGAAATATATTTTGTAATCTACATGCACAAACACATGCATTTAGCAAAGTGATTTATAGAAATATATTTAAAAAGAATTACTTAAAAAAAACATCCCTTTTCAAGTGAGGGGTTTAGAAAAATGAAAAATCTTTGTTTTCTTATATTTCATGAGTTTCACTTTTTAAAACCTTTTTTCTCACTCTTTTTACTTTGTCATTTATTAGCTCTAGTTGGATTATATTTCTTTTTCTGGGAGTGGAAGATTAGTTGGATTATTAGGCCATGCGTATGATGTCCTGGCCTTTTTTTCATATGTAGTTTAATAATGGAACGTGATTTTACCGTTATTTTTTATGGTAGAGCTAAATGAGAAGAAAAAGACAATGTCAAAACTAATCGAAGAAGATGTATATTTCTTTGCCCAACGTGCTCAGATGTATTATAAGAAGAGATCACAGTTTGTGAGCATGATTGAAGACTTTTATAGAACACATTGATCATTACCTAAGCGGTATGATCAAATTGTTGAAGACTTCTATAGAACACAGGAATTCGTCAGTGGAAGATTGGAGGATCCCCTTTCTCCACTCAAGCATCATCCACTAGAGAAGTTGATGAGTTCTGTTAATGACAATTATGATAGTTATTATGAGAGTTGTGATGTGGGGGAGTCTGGGGAATTTGAAATTGATGATCCTGAGCAAAAAGAGGACGAGGGTTCTAAATTTGATAATTGTGTAGAACCGGAGGAAATTCAATTTGTGGTTGCAAACGATGTGATGGAAATTGAGAGACTTGGTGAAGAAAACAAGGATAATAAGGGGTCAGAACAAGCATAAACAAAGTTAACAAAGATGTGGGGTTGAGATTATAAATATTTTATTTCTAGATTTGTGATTTATTATTATAGTTTTCTAATCCTAAAAAGAAAGGTCTATAGTTTGTCTTAGCTCATAGGACTTTGTAGATATTTGGTTCTATGGACTTTTTTAATAAATAATTTTTTTTGATTTTGTGGACTTTTTGGCTCTAGTCCACATATGTTAGGGCAAGACCTATCAAATGAGACTAATTTAACAGCTTCACTTTTAGGAGAATAAAAGCATAGTCAGTCAAAAACTCGAAAAAGGTTTATATCGAACAACTTGTTATATAGTTTTTCATAAAGGAAATATTTTTTAAGAAAAGAGGTTATATAGTTTTTCATAAAGAGAAATACTTTAAATAGGAACACCTCTTCCTATTTAAAGAAACAGCGTGACCCCAACTAGTATTGTAGGAGAAGAAGTCTTTTCTGTTTAGCTGTATGACCAAGAATCACAACATTCATTCAGATTATATTGTATACAATGATAATGACCTTTGATTAAAAAGATAGCCTAATCGAACATTAAAAAAGTCAAGATAATGTTATTTCTTTTCTCATCCAAATCAATCCTAAGCCCATACAACCCACCCAAACCAAGTCAGTTGTACCATTCTTGTTATCAGATCTTATAATTAGTTGCTTTAAGCCACCAAGAATATTAACAAAAATAGATGAATTTTAGTGTAAGAGACATAATTTGGATGATATGTAATTTGTGGTTCCGAATCTAAAATTCATTTTGAGCATTTATCTTTATTCAAAGAATGTGCATTAAGAACAAGAATACCTGGATCAAAACTGCATAAAGTGATACATCCAACCTGGTTTATGCATGCTGACACCTTATTGTCATAGTTGGGTTGGATTGTTGTAGAAGACCCAGACCATTGTACTTTGACTTGAATCTCCTTTTGGTTGACAGAACCCGTCTTTCTATTATGAAATTTATAATATGGAGGAAACACATGTCTCGTGTACACGGGAAACTCATGTCTCTTGTAACACACGTCAATTGCATGTCCATTTCATAGTCAATTGCATGTTCATTTCATCCACAATGCGTGCAGATTTTTCTTTCGACATTGTTTCTTTCCCTTTATCAATAAGTGCATGGAGTAGTGGCAGCAACATTAATCTTGACTTGAGTGTTGGAAAAGAAAGTGAAATGATGTTCTTGATGTGCAACCTAATGAAAAGGTTTAATAACAAGAGGAATGGGTTCAAGAAAAAACCATGTCACCCTATAGTGATATATTGGTCATTCATGACTAGCAAGAATTGCATGACTTGATGTTAAATGTTCCTCTGTTTAATCACTCACACAAACATTTAACATCACACAAACATCTAATAGTATGTCGTCTAAAATTTTCATCATCCTAAATAGTCCTTAACTTTGTAAAAAACTGTCACACTAAGATCAATTGTTTCAGTAAAGAGATTTCATCTACAATTCAGAAACCCTCAAAAATCTTGATGGCAAATCCTTCTAAATTTCCTCTGCGTTATCCCTACATAGTATATTTATATGAGGGGAAACAGAATGAATATCCAACCCATAATTTGGATTAGTTGCGGCTTAAGAACAGGAGCCACAAGGGAATCGGCTGGATATTTAGATGCAGATATGTTGGTGCAGAGGAAATGTTAAAGATGGTTCATGTCTTCCCATCTCTTAAAAAATTGAACATCTACTCTGTCAACTCCTTGTCTATATAGGCACATATCATGCTCTATACTACATAGGCTCTATACTACATATAGTTTCTTGATCATGCTATACTTGTATATATCTGATTCACATTAAATCTCAAGTATTAATCATTTTCAAACTCTTTAAAATTTTTGTATTCAACTGAGCTTTTTTTTCATTTGAATGTGATACAAAGTTAAGTAGTCAACCATATGGTATTACCAAGGAAGAGGGCAGGGAATAGTAGAGTAGTGGTATGTGATTAATTAGCATGATTAGAGCGTGTTAGCGAAGAGAAAAGAAGTGGGAGTGGGAAGGTGATGGATAAATAGATACACTGTTAACACTACTACTATTCCATTTTCCTTGGCAATGGCAGAAATACGGATACGAGGTTTTGATGTATTGGGTTTGCGTCGTGATACTCGTAATAGGAGAAGGCAGATCCGTGGACGAATACTATGTCTTTTGACTATCCAATGACCAAACCCTCACCACTACCACCACACCACACCACACTTTCTATGCTACCCCTCCTATGCTATAAATTAACATCACGAAATTTTTATACACTAGTGCCGCATATAGAAACTCTCAAACTCTTTCTTCCACTCAGTCCCTGACTAGTCTTAGTACCACTCTTCCCCCTTTCTCTTTTTTCTTTCTCTCCCAACACACCCAGTCACTGGGTCCCTCCTTTTGCATGTCTTTATACTTTTCATTCATGCTCCCACTATGTTATATTGCACATATATTATATTCCGTGCACCTGCTGACACGTATTTCCATTTTATTAGCTTATAAAGCTACTCCCATAACATTCTAACTCTTTCTTCCAGCTGCTTCCTACCTCTTTACATTTCAAAAGTTTATTATTACAGTTCGCATCCATATTATGATGTTAACACTTGTTTCCATTCTAATAATGGCTATATGGGTAGACTTTTTAATGAAAAAAAATAAAGATATAAAAAACAGTAATTTATACATTTGAATGTGACTATATTTCTTTTTTTTTCTTTTTATAATCAGAACAAAATAAAAAATTATACTCTTCTTCTTTTTTGTTGTATAAAAAGTAAGTAGTAGTTTCTCTTAACAAAAATATGGACTTGAGAAGAAAAAATTAAGCTAAAATTTGTATACACATTAGTTTATATGAAAAATAGATTCAAGCGAGACAAATTATAATTAACATAAACCATGGTAAAAAAAATATATTGTTAAATTTTTACATCAAACATAACTTTTAATTTTTCATTAGAAACATCAATAAGTGAATAAAGTAAAGCTAAATTTTATAAACACCAACCATGAGTATTTTTCATCTAAAAATTAACACCAAATTAAAGAATTAATGAACATAATATTGTTTACCATCAACTATTGAGTTCAATATTTTGATATGCACAATCTTTAAACACTCAAGAAAGAATTTTAAAGTATGCCCATAAAAAAGTATTAGAATAATTAATACTTATTATTAAAATAGTTAAAATTATTCATAAATATACTAAATTTTAACTATTAACCTGTTTAAGAAAGACTCATACAGATTCATTATAAGAGATACTCAAAAAGCTTGAAACAAAGAAGAGGATTTATAAATTTATAATGTCGATATATTATTATAGAGTGATTTTGCATGAATTTTAGGACAGGTAAAATCATGAAAAAAAATAGATTCTTAATGAATAATTCATGCGATGATATCTTAAAATTGTTTGATCTTCTAGATTACAATAAGATGAAAATAGTATGTGTTAAAGGACTTAAGAAAACAAAAAGAAAAGAAAAAGCTAAATTAGGACTTGTTTATTTTAATTGTTGTAATTAAAATTTAAATTTGTGAAAGAGTATGTATTTCAAATTGAAGTTGTATTTTTGAAACAAATTACTCTAATTTAAGTTTTTAATAGTTTATTTGATGTATTTTTTTGATCAAATATAAATTTTAATTTTATGTTATATTGAATTACATTTATTTTTATATTAAGTGAATGTTGTAAATTGATATTAATTATTACTTTAAACCAATATGTTACATTTATGATGAATTAAATTAGTATAAGAAAAATAAAACATATACAAGAGAACTAAAATTAACAACCCAAAAAATAATGTTAATCAAATTCTGAATAGATACTCCTATACAAATTATTCTTAAAGGGAGAATAGGTACTCGATTTTATCGTCCACTACTTAATTTGGATTTCATGAACATTCCATTCAAAACCCTCCAATATCTAAACATTTTAAGATGGACCTACATTTTGTTCCTGGCAGAGTTCATCAGAAGCAAACTCAGCTAGTTCACATTCCCTCTTGTTTCCAAATAGCAGACGTTCTCACAAAATCCTTGTCTTCATCATATTTTCATATGGATAGGGATAAACTTATGTGGGGTTTTAGAACCACCATAAGTTTAAGGTGTGCTTATAAAATCCCAAATGTTTAAGGTGGGATATTAGGTGAGCTTATATATTTATGCATCTAACTATTGGGTCTATTAAGGAGGTTCACTATCACAAACACAATGACATATGAGAGTCCAACTAAATAAAGGATTAACACAACTTTTTATCCAAAACTTTAAAGTAATAGATTGATGGGTCTTTCACTTTTATATACTGTTTTACTTTTTTATTTCTATTCAATGTAAGACTTGGACTCACACTTAGATTCACAACACTAACAAATTTATTTGCTTTAAAATTAGAAGAGCCAAGAATTGGAGGGACGAAGTCCCCTCATGATCCTTTAAAGCTTGTCATTGTTTTTAGCCAACTTGTTGACAAAAAATAACTTTCACATACTTCATGGTTATTTTCTGATGTGGACATTCTGCGTTAGATTTTTTGGTAATGAAATGAAAATTTATGATCCATTTCTTTATATTTTTCTTGTTAACATTCAAATTATAACGTACTTCTTGATTCTATTGGACATTAAGTCTAAAAAATGGTAAAAGCAAAACAGGAAAAACAAAGAAAGGACAGACAAATAAAACATTTGAAATATTTTGTTTGCTTGGTTTTAATTAGAATAGTTAAGGAACCATACAAAAGTTTAGGGGTTTGGACCTGAAGTTTGAGCTAACAGTATCAATAGCGAAGGAACGATAAAAAAAGTGAAAAAGAAGAAAAGACAATATTAGACATTTTGGTATAAAATTTCAGTCATTTGCTTCCGGTTTGATTTTTTGTTTTTCGATCAAATTTCCATTACACTCTTTAACGAATGCATTATGCATACAATGAATTCACATGGATGTAGTT